TAGATATAAAAAGAAAAACTATGAGTAAAAATACTATACAGATAATTATATTGCACGTTATATTGTTTTTGGCACTAAACTTGGCAATAAACCCCGATTCTGATTCTGATTCTGATTCTGATTCTGATTCTGATTCTGAAATCATGTTGGGTTTTTTTTGTATCTTAAATTTTAGGAATATAACTAATCCAACATTCATCATCTTCTTCTTCTTCCAGAGAAAACGGTATCACTGGAAATGTACCCTCTGCCGGCTGTAGTCGGGGAGAGTCTGACTCTGAGGTGCCTTGTTTGGGGCACGGATCAAATCAGCCAGACTACTTTCTACAAAGACGGTGTAATGTTAGTGCGAAGTGATGATCCAACCTACACAATCCCCAGTGTGACAGAATCTGCGAAGGGAAGATATAAGTGCATGTCCATCTTCACATACAAAGACCGCACTGCTGGGCCTCACTACAGTGAGAGCTCTGATGATCAAGATGTGCTTGTCCTAGGTAAGCGTCTGTCAAACACTGTGTCTTCTGCATGTAATTTCTTGTTTTTTTCTCGTCAGCAGACCTTTTTTTAACATCCATCACCTCGCTTGTTCTTTTCAGTCCCTCCTATGAAAGCCTTCCTCTCTGCAAACGTTGGCATGTCATGCTCCTGTCCACTTTGCCCCACTGCAAGCTCCTATAGCTGGTACTTTAAGAGCGATGATAAGCCATGGACACAAGTGTATTCCGGCCAAGGATTCATGATGCCAAAAGATAGTGGTACCTATGCATGTAGAGCTCTGTGGAGCACCGGGAGATCTTATCTCAGCAGCAGTTTTGTTTGTAAGTTCCAGTTTATTGAACTGATGTCGTCGCCATCAGTGTTGTCTCAAGTTTGCTTGGAGAATTGAAATACTTAGAAATGGGAAACTGTGTTTAGTGGATGTGGAGTTTAAAGGACCAATGCCCTTATTAGGCTGGGTGGATGGATGGATGGATGGATAGATAGATAGATAGATAGATAGATAGATAGATAGATAGATAGATAGATAGATAGATAGATACTTTATTGGTCCCGAGGGAAATTCAAAGCATCCAGTAGCAGGTTACAAAGACGTACATGACATGAAACATTTGTTACAAATTAACCACAAAACTGCCCCCCCCCCCCCCCATATATATATTAACCTGGGAAAAAGATTTAAAGAATACCCCTAGATGAATCAAACTTAAACTGTGAAATTAAAAATAGACTTACACAAGAAATGTACATAACCCGTGCAGGGATAAAAAATATATGTGAGATTTAAAACAAGAACCTTTAAACAGTTGAGAAAAGAAATCTGTAATTAGACCTGAATATTAAAAAAAATATGCTGACCTGAGGGTAGATCTAACAAACAAAACTTTAGAGTTGCATTATGGGATTTGTAGGATCCAGTGTGTTTGGATCTGCACATTTATTTGGGAATAATCTATTTCAGAATAACTCTTTATCCAGTTAAATTTCTCAGAACTGTTGAATTGTCGTATAGGTGGAAAATTCACATAGAAACGTTGTGTTTTCATCTTAACCAAAAATGTAAAGATTTCAGCCACCTTTCAAAAATTGCTTTACAAATAATTAATATACTCAAAGATCTCATGATAATGTTAATGTTAATAACTATTAACTCTGACCACTTTTTTTTATGGCACTAACGTGAGACCAATTCTTTTATACTGATGAACCCTGCTAATGAGAGTGTGACCTATAACAGAACTTCATACACTAAAGATTCAATGCATGCCTCTTCTGCAGATCATCCTCCAGTCAAAACCCTCTTCCTAGTTTTGGTCTTCCTGCTGTTGGTTCTAGGTTCGGCAGCTGTAGCAATTGCTTTCTATATAAGGTACAGGAAGAGAGCTGCCACAGGTATGGATCTAGTACTTGTTTTCCACTTTTTTTAAGTACACTTAATGCATCATGTAACACTTTATTTTTGTTTTTAGGAGCAATTTATGAGGATGTGGAGCGCAAAAAGGGTGATAACGATTACGAGATGTTGGGTCATGCTCAAAGGGAGGGTGAGTATGACACCCTGCACCCCGAGGCACCGAGCAGACAGAAGAGAGAGGGTGAATATGAAGCACTGAAGAAAGAGGAAATGGAAGAGGGGGTGTACCACACTGTGCAAATGCAGGCGGCAAGTGGAGGAGGGGGAGAGTATGAACAGTTGCAAAAAGAGGGAATGGAAGAGGGGCAATACCAATCCCTGAACATGGAGGGTGCAATCGGAGGAGTGGAAGGACATGAAGCATCAGGGAAGAGTGACAAAGGCAGAGAAAATGAGACGGAGGAGGAAAAGTAAATAATTACAAAGTTATAAAAAGGGAAAAAAGGGTCAAAGATAAATTTCTTGGCAACCAGCAAGGTCCGGAGATGTCAGTTTTGAAATATATATAACAAACAATACAGAAAGAAAAGTTATCTATCATCACAATTAAAAAAATGAAGACAGCATATGCTTGTTAGTTTCATAGTATAACAATTAGCAATTGGAAATAATTATACCATAATGCCAATTTCTATGCACTCAAGCTTTCTGGCAAACTTGATCTGTTAAATGCTTTTTCTGCCCCTTGATATTTATCATACAAATACTTTCACTGACTGCAGTACACATATGGTCAGGCTTTGTTTCCGAGTCTTTTTTTTGTACAGTACGAACAATAACTTAAATAATGAGTGATATATGATTAGTATATAACACATACAATGAGTTCTAACTATATAAAGCTCTTACAGTGCTGAAAAAAGGCAATGTAAGTTCATCTTTATGTAGCAAATACTTAGTTATTACTTACTTATGTTTCTTTGTGAAGTCAAACAGGCTACTGGTGTAATATTGTATAATTTCTACTTGTGTGCACAATTTTTGCTTCTTAGTGACATGTCAGTTAAATTTGCTGTAAAAATGTAGTACTTTAAAATAGATATATTTTGTTTAATTATCTATGCTATAATATATATGTTTTATTCAATGTAGTTGTTTTTATTTTATAAATCACTTTATGTCAATATATAATAATGTCAAGTACATTCACAAGCTATGTTTCTTAATGTTTGTGGAGCACAGAACATGATTAAAGCCAAGTAAGCCAACCAGGACGGTGTTGACAAGCTCTTTGAAGAAAGGCACAGACAAGGTCAGTTCATTAACAAGACCAGACAAACATGTTCAACCTCTTAGTGATTTGGTTTGTCATGATGAAACTTACCATCACGCTCTTTCCATCATGACTCGACCCTCTTTGAAGAGTTATCTCAGATTTCAAGTCATTCCTTCTCTCCAATTCACTTCTATGGCAAGACAAAAGTAACACTTAGTGCAACAATTTTAAATTAGAAATCAATACCTTTTTTACCTTAAACATTTTTTTTTTGCATAAAACCAGGTTCAGTTACACATTTGTTGAATTGGGAGGATTGTTTATAGGGAGAAGTGAGAGCCTACTGGGTTTTTGAATGTTTCAGGGGGAAAAAAGAAAAATGTTGACTGCATCCTAATTGCACTGTATATCTTGAACTTGCTTTAATAAAAATATGTTGAAAAAAAAACAGGTTCAGTTACACATTTGAAATGCCTACTTGTGTATTTTATGAAACGCTACATTTGAAATGACGGTGGTGTTCAATTCAGTTTTTCAATTCAGTAAGCTTCATTAGCATGAATGTGACAATACTGCCAAAACATATCATATCAAACAATACAATAATAGCCTAACTTAGCCTGGCCTAAGTAACAGTAGACTGGTAATCGGCTATTAAAAAGTAACACAAATATTGATCAATAATGACATCATAACAAGAGTAATACTCATAAATATCTTGATATCAAAAATGTCTCTCAGTCAGCTTCCAGAGCATTTATGATTTAACCCCATTACTTTATCTCATGGCTCAAACTGTTCTGAAGCCAATGTAGGAGCGAAATCCTAACAAGTGAAGAGCCTTTGCAGCATTTTTTTTTTTTTTACCGAGGACGGCAGGTATCGTGTGAAATATGACGTATAAATATGGCAACTATAATATGAACCGACAGGTATGGTAACACCAAAACCTTAATATTGACAGTAATACTGATAAAAAAAAAAAAAGGTATGGTGGAGACGTGTCATGTATATTTTGGTGTTATTTGTTTGAGTGTGTATGAGTAGGCTAGCTTCAGGTCTGGAGTACAAAAGCTAGTCTTAGTAGCCACAATGGTAGGCCTAAATGTACTTTGGTAAAGCACACTAATAAGGTTAGTTTCAAGCTATATAGTGGTCAAACAATGCACAACTTTTACCATGAAGACTAACTAAATGAGCTAATGAAGCTCAAGTTAAAATGGTTGACATTTAATAAATAATAGAAACAGTAGCCTACAGTTTATTCATGTTGGTTTGTTAATTATTTTTTGGTGTTAACATTCCCCATAAACATTAGTTTTATATGTCTTATAGTCAAGCAAACACATTTTGTATTGTTTGTGGGTACCTGGCTAGCTTGCTTATGAAAGATTAGCCTACTTATTAAAGAATGTGTCAGAATAACACTAAGAAGACAGTGAGTTTAGGTTGAGGGTTGAACATGGACCTAGTTATTAAAGCCCAGAAACCCTGTAAAAAACAAATTTAGCTAGGTTTAAGTCTGATAGTGAACTTATAGGGCATATGTGACTAACTTTCATAAACCACTATATTGTCTGCTATCACTTGGCTGATAGCATAGGCTAATAACTTTTCTGTGCTTGGGGGGTAATACAAGAGTTGGTGTTAGTATTATAAATAGAGGCCACACCCTTGAAACCCTTGTCTCCAGCAAGTTATATCCACCTTTATGCAGGGACTTTTTGATAGGGGTTGACCTAAAACGGGACAGGCAAATGGCCATGTCCTTCCACATCCACTTTTGTTTGAATGAATCTAAAGGACGACTGTCACACTTGATGCTTGGTTTAACCTCTGTGCAGTGATAATTAATTCTACCTCAGCTCCTACACCAAAAAGTCCAATTAGGTTGTTGGTGGTGAGTACTAAGATCTTTCTCAGGGTGTCGAGGCAGGGCTTCAACTGGACAAATCATCAGTAAAGCCCTTTATAACTCTACCCGTGTCCTCAAAGAATTCGAGTTACATCCAGGTGACTACTGTTTCTCCCACTGACAGATGGTTGCAGGATAATCCCATTGATTCCAGAGACCAGAGTTGGACGTGAGGGTGTATGCCAATGCCTCAGTGGCTTCCTGGCTGAGGAAAACTGGTGAGTCCCTTCTCTGGTGCCAAAAAAAGCTATTTTTCATCTTGATTTCAATGCTCTTGTATTTTAGCTCAGTGATCGATAAGCTGTCTGGACACAGCACAGAGTACAGCACTATGAGTAACATGAAACCACTGTACCCAAGGGTATTAAGACCCACATTGTTCGTGCCTGAACCACACATAAAGAAAGGTCGACTTGAAAAAGACAAAACTGGTGTTTAACAAGAAGTTGGTTAAAAAGGGAACCCTCAGCTGTAATCAGGTTTGCTTACCAAGAAAGTAAGGACTATAACTGCTAAGAATATTTAAAATTGTACAAGAATATTGACCTCTACATTTTATTGTACAATATTTTTTTCACATGTACATGATTTTTTTTACATATACTGGTTTTGTTTACAATCCAGAACAAAACATTTAACAAGAAAACAATGAAATAAAAAGTCAAAAACAGTAAAAACCCTAGCATTTAATTTGTAATCTATCAGTGAAACCGTATCAGTGAGTGATACTTTTTGGTGAAACTCTAATGCTGAGATGCTTTAAATCTTTAAACCTTCTTCTTCCCGACTAGCTAGTACATTATAACATCTACTAATACAAATGAAAAACAAATTGCTCATGTACAATGAAGTGTCATTTCTTGTTGTCCATGATAAGCCTTTTAATTTTAATGGGAGCAGGCTTACTGATCCTTTAACATCTCTGCTGCTTGCTGCACCATTCATAAGAAACCACAGGGTTTTTTTAACAGACTGAGTTCTATGTGATGGCTCTATCAGCCAAACATTTTTATTTTATTTGCACTTTTAAACTTTGACTGATGCTATATAACTCGCATCACTCATCAGGCTCTGCTAAGTGTTCTTTGTACATCACTGCTGTGAAAGAGAAAGATAAGAGCCTGGCTTGTGTTGGGTTTGTTTTTTGGTCATGTAGTGACGGCCAAGTGCATTTGTAGATGTGAACACTAAATGCTTGAATTCCCTGAACACAAGAGTGACATGAAGAGTAACATAAAGGAAACATATATTTTGTGTAAAGCTTATAGAAAATCATTCAGGAGAAAACAGCCTTATGGAGAATCGATAGAAATAAATACAGCCCTAAACTAAGACTAGGGTTAAGGTATTGTTATTACTCTGCATAAAGACATTTCCCCCCAGCTGGTCAGTAAGCAGGCAGGTCTGAGGCCTTGTATATAAAACATTTTTTTAAATAAAGAAATCCCAAAGTCAGTGTGGGCTATTAGACTTCTTTGAAAGCTGTGTGCAGTTACATTTCCAGGTGTCCAAATACCTTCTCAGTGGAGAGTAAACCAATACTGCTGAGCAATATATTTTTTTGTGTTGGCACAAGTCACATGCGTCTTCTTAAAAGTGTGCACATAAGGACAACATTTAACTTTGCTTTTTGGAAAAAAAAATATTTTGTAACATTATGTGAAATCCTTATAGCTCCAGTTTTTGGTGCAAACATCATGAAACCATGTGAACAAACTCTGTAGGTTCTCACCCAACACGTGATAATAGGCTTGTGACATATGCCCATTTAAATATTGGGAATCCTGTATGACTCAAATATAAATGTGGCATATAATTTAAAGCCAAATGTCGTCCGATAATATTGAAGTATTCTACATTTATTACAATGATTTAACATAAAAAAAAGCGACACCAGACCTAAAATCCCTCCCTCCTCCTTTAGAGGTCCTAAAACACATTACTGAAGTTGTCTGTCACACACAGTACACAATTGCAATCACACACACAAATACAGATTTTTTTAAACTCACTAGTGTCTTCACCTCGACTGTGGAGTCTCTTTAAATTCAGTTCATTTTTAATTTTTACAGTCACACTTCCTCAAAATTGTCCCCTTTAACGATATCAAAGTTGTTCCTGCCATCAGGTGAAACTTCAGACTGATGATCACTAAGAGCTGTGTGCAGACCATCTTCTTCTTATGAAAACTCTCGGCCTCCCTCTCCTTGTAGATAATTATTGGTTCCAGCTGGTTGGACATACTCCTCAGTTTTGTCCCAGTCAGAAACCCATCCTCCTCCTCCTCCTCCTCCTCCTCCTCCCATGCCTCCACCTCCATTTGGATCTGCTCCCTGGTTCATGGCGCCGTAGCCTCCTCCTCCACTTGTGCGATACAGCTCCTCTGTCTCATTGGCTAGCTCGTCTTCATCCAGAATGCCACATTTCTCATCGCTCTGCTCCTCCGGCTCTGCCCAGGCTTGCTTCTCACCCGATGCAAAGAGGCCTGCAGTCCAAACAGTGATAAGTTAGTGTCAGAGATGTTTCAGTCTGCAGACAGTTGCATGAAGAATAATGCACAGATATATGCTTGAACACATTGATGCTCTGGTTAATGTAAAAATGAGTTAGGAATAAAAGTTAAGGAAAGGTATACACACCATAGAATATTACACCTCCATAATGAACCAGTGAGGCGATCAGAAACACGCCCTGCCACTCCTCTCGTGTCTTTAAAAAGAGAGAGAGAGAATACAAGATGTGAGCATGAGGTCATTCTGTTTAATCTTTTTTTAGCATAAAGATGTTCAAAAGTCATCAAAGTAATCAAAGGTGAGCTTGCATGTGGATTGTTGTGATTAATCCATGGTAATAAAAACACACCTTCAGACAAGAGAATACAAGTCAAATAAGTGTTTTTCTTTGTTTGTTTCTTAAATGTATTTAATAAGTTCTCACCTTGTGCTTTGTCATGGCACCAACTATAAGCGGGCAAACCATCCCTGATAAAGTGCCCACTCCGTTAGAGATACCCATGAGGATACTGGCATAGCGTGGTGCAATGTCAAGGTGGTTGACATTGAAACCTTTTGAGGAAGGACACGAACAAAGATGAATACAAAATAAGAAGCTATGTGCAGTTTATTTTAATATTTAATGTTATCTGCACACAAGAGGGGTGTGTATGTGTGTGTTCGTGTGTGTATGTGTGTGTTTGTGTGTGTGTGTGTGTGTGTGTGTGTGTGTGTGTTTGTGTGTATGTGTGTGTTTGTGTGTGTGTTTGTGTGTGTGTGTGTGTGTTTGTGTGTATGTGTGTGTTTGTGTGTGTGTGTTTGTGTGTGTGTGTGTGTGTGTGTGTGTGTGTGTGTGTGTGTGTGTGTGTGTGTGTGTGTGTGTGTTGCACAGTTGTTGAAGAAAACATGATTTCACCTGAAATTGCAAAGCCAGAGAAACCCACAGCCAGAACAAGGAAAGTAATGGCGACACCTTTGGTGTGAGAGAATCCCACCACTAGCAGCAGTGTTGCCTCCATCCCAAACCCTGATGCAGACAAATCAAGTAGCAAAGAATCAGAATCAGAATCAGAATCAGGGTTTATTGCCAAGTACATTTACACATACAAGGAATTTGACTTGGTGTATTGGTGCTAAACAGGAAATAAGCAACAAAGAATGACTTAAATGTGTTAAAATATTCTCACTTCAAGACGTTCATTTAAACCAACTGAAGATCATTTATCTCACATTGTGCTCCCCTTCTTTTTATAAAATGCTGTTGACTGAGCAGTTTTTACACCTGCGCTGACAGCTTGTACATTGCATGCTTCTCCATTTCAATGCTATCGATTTCTCTGTGTAGTTCAAAAATAGCCAACAGAGGCAGCGTTTCTGCTTTGCAGTGAGTCATCATTTCCTTTTATGCACCGAATGTTTTCTCACCACAGCGGACATAACACTTATGTTAACCCTATAATGAGCAGATGATCTACTGTGCAGTTGTTCAGGTTTATGTGATCAAACCAGCCTTTGTGCTAAAAATAAGCTGCTAAGAAAAGCTTCTGTTGATGAGTAAAAACAGGCTGTAAAATGTTTAATCTGTATCAGACTTTCTTACCTCCACAGTTCATCATTTTCCTGACGTTAGTGGTGGACATTATTTGGTTTGAGCGTAGATAGTCGGCTAGTTGGCCGCCAATGGGCACTATAATGGTCATGACAAGATGGGGAAGGGCGGAGACTATGCCCACCTAGATGAGAGGGGAAAAAGAATTTCAATCAAACATATTTTACACTAGCAGGTTTGGTCAACCTTTGCTCCACAGTATCATGTTATTGTTCCTGTAGAAACTTTCACCCCTGCTGTAATACAGCAAACATAATTCATGCAATGCCCACATATGTTGTTGTTTTTTTCTGTTACCTTGCTAATTTCGAACCCAAACACCTCCTCAAAGTATGCAGGCTGGCTGATGAGAAGCAAGTAGAAAGTCCAGCTTCTGCAGAAGTTAGCTACAATGATGGCATACACTGGCATGGATGTAAAGAAGGCCCTCCATGGTGTGTTGAATTTCTGAAACACACAAAAACACATCCCTTAGAGCCAGTGTCCACTAAAGGCTCATATATGTATCTGATTTTGTCATTAAATTCTAATCCCAAACACTGTCAAACTACGTCAAAAGGTTGGTTACCTACATATAAATAAATTAATTTCCCTATGTCCTGTCGGAAAAGGATAATTGAAGCAGTTTTTCTTTCAGTTTTGGATTATGGTGATGTGTTCTATAGGCATGCCTCTTCCACTACCCTAAAGCCCTTAGATGCTGTTTACCATTCTGCGCTTAGATTCATCACCGGTGATAGCTACATAGCTACACCACTGCATTCTCCATAATAAAGTTGGTTGGCCCTCCCTCACTGAGAAACGCAATAACCACTGGCATCTTTTTATCTATAAAGCCCTTACTGGAAAGCTTCCATCATATATCACCTCCTTGTTAAATCTGAACCCTGGTCCATTTTTAACCCGCTCGAGTGAGAGGCTGCTTCTCCAGGTTCCTCATGCCAGGACTGACCTGGGGAAAACCGCTTTTAGTGTTAGTGCTGCAAACTCCTGGAACATTTTACAACAGGACCTGAATTTGAGCACTTTTATCCCTTATGGACACTTTAGAAATATTATTTTTAACCGCCCAATACCTGACTGTAACTGTTTTATTTGATTTTAATTGCTGACTTATCACTGTAGTAATTTCAAGCTTTTAAATTATTTTAATGTATATATTTTATTGTTCTTATTGCTCTTTTATTGAGTTTATTTTCTGTAGTAGCTTTATCTCATTTCTCGTTGTTTATCATTTATGTATGTTTTCTCGGCATCATTGTAAATGAGGGTCACCCTCAATGATCTCTCCGAGAACTTAAATAAAGGTTGATGATGACTCAGCCATCACTTACACAAATGTGTTGTTTTTCAGGTTAATACTTTATTAAACTGAACAGTTTTAAAGATGTGATTATGAAAATAAAGGACGATTCAGATATCAAGGTTTACAAAAACAATTTAGTCCATATAATTTTTTCCTCACTTCTATTGGAATTTTTTGTCTGTTTTTCAAATTATCTTAAAAGTAGTCTCTCCTCTTGAAATGTTAAGAGACCATGTCATACAAACTGTATCTTTACAAGAAACGCTCCAATACTCCCACACCGCCGTCATTTTCTGTCACTATTGACCATGAAAATAAATCAAGTTTGTCCAGCAGCACCTTTTCTCTGAATCAGCAGTTCAGTATTGCCAGCATTGACAGATGCGACACATCGACCCCTGACATTGGTGCATGCCACATAATTTGCCAATGTTCAGATATCTGTCAACATGGCCGATTTCAGACAAAATCATTGTTCAACCAACGTATCAATGCATTCCTACCTAAATGCATGACAGCAGACCTAAATAAGTTTCCAATGATATTACTTTTTTATTTTTTGCTCATATTGTGTGTTTGGATAACCTGCTGCTCCTACGCCACAATTTCCCAGTTTGGGATCAATAAAGTAATTCTATTCTATTCTATTCTGTACTTTCTAAATATATAACCCTGTTTTTCTTCAAGTTGGGACACTGTGTGAAATGGAAACAGAAAGAGAATGTGATGATTTGCAAATCATTGAAACCCAATATTTAATTGAGAATTGCACAAAGAAAACACATCAAATGTTAAACTTGAAAATGGTTTTGTTATTGGAAAATGGTTTGCCCATTTTGAATTTGATGTCAGAAACAGGTTTCCAAAAAAGTCATGACAATGGCACAACATCCTGGGAAGTTGTGAAATGCTAAAAGACAACTGGTGGAAAACCACAATGAACAGGTTAATTAGCAGGTTAGTACAATGATTGGTATAAAAAGAGCTCAAGGAGCAGATGGGGAGGGGTTCATTATTCTGTGAAAGACTGTTCAGGGAAATAGTGCAAAGCTTTAAGAATAACATTTCTCAACTTTCAATGAATAATGACTGCATGGGCTCAGGAGCACTTCACATGAACATTGTCTGTGAACACAGTTCTTGCTGCATTGCTAGTTGAATGCTAGTTGAAATGTTAGCATGCAAAGAGGAAAATATATAAACCAGATCCATCAATACTGCCCTGTCTCCGGGCCCAGGCTCATTTAAAATGGACTGAGGCGAAGTGGAAAACTACACTGAGGTCTGATGAGTCAAAATCTGATATTTTGTTTGGAATTCATGGATGTTGCATCCTCAAGGCTAAAGAGGCGAAGGACCATCCAGCTTGTTATCAGCATACAGTTCAAAAGTCAGCATCCCTGAGGGTATGGAGGTGCATTAGTGCACACAGCAATGGTAACCTGCATATTTGTGAAGGCCCTATTAACGCTGACCGCTGTCTTCAGGTGATGGAGCGACTTGCTCATAAACCCCATCCTGCAGAGAGATCTATTAACTGTACTGACCGTTACTGCTTGTTGAGCAGTCGCGCCAATGCTTTCCTCAATATATGTTCTCTCCTCCTCAGTGATGGTGGGATGAGCAGCTGGACTTTCATAAGACACCAGGAACCAGAAGCAGTACCACATGATCCCAAAACTTCCTGGGAGTAGGAAGGAAGTCGAAAAAAGGGAACGGAGAAGGCTTTATGTAAGTGTCAAAACAGAAAGTTAAAGGTCATGAACAGGCAGCAAATTAGACACTTTAACTCTAATAGCAGCTCTAGAAACCGAGAATTGATGTTGAATTTATAAATAATGTCTGACCGGTCTCTTCTACCTGTATAAGGGTCTGATCACACAAAAATGCGTTGCACAAAGCGCGGCCAAAATAAAATAAGCGGGGAAAAATAAATTTGAGCAAATGCAGAGCTGTTGCTGTTGCTTTTCTCTTAGACGAGGAGGGGGAAATGTCGTTAAAAAAAAGCGGAGGTTTTGGGAACTTGAAATTGCTTCATTCTTTTTTTTTAAGGAAACGGCATGGTGACTTCCACGATTTCTTCAGTGAGCTCGGTTTTGACAACTCTTGATTTGATTGGCTGCTCCTGCCGAACTAACGATCGATGAACTCTCCGTGTCTTATGCTGATATATGTTGAAAAAATTAAAATTTTATGCATGCCCAAAAACAGCTAGAAAAACATATCAGAAGAGTGAGCAGCACATGGCTGTACCATATGTAAACAATGCCTTTGATAGCGACGCGTTACTGTGTGATCGAGCCTCTAATGATGCTTGCCTTTGCGCTTTTTTTTCTTTTTTTTTACTTTTCAGCTCCAAAATGTGCATTCATATCCTCATAATAATGATGAGTGTGTCTACTGTCTACATAAGAATTGAATTCAGCATTCTGATGTGCAAACCATCTGATTACTGTAGGACTATTATCAGGATTATAATGGCCAGAACTCCATTTGAACATTCGTGAAAGGATAAAGCTCTCTCACCATAGACGTAAAAGACTGATGACCATCCTGAGTACTGCACCAGTATTCCAGCTAAAGGCATGGCAATCACAGCACCAGCATAAGAACCTATAAAAAAAAAAAAGGAGAGAGATTGTGTTTCTTTTGTGTTCAGGCCGTCAACCAGCAATTATTAATTAATTTATCAACCTCCTATTTTGTCATTTAACTGTTAAGTCTATAACATGTCAGAAAGTAGTGAAAAACTGCGTCTTTCATTGTCTTGACTTGTTTGACAGCCCAATACAAAAGAGGTATTTTTAACACTGTCAAATGACAGAAAAGCAGCAACTCATCAGCTGGGACCGACAATGGGCTGACTTGTTATTGGGAAATATCTTCCAAGTTATTAGGAATAGATGTGGATTCATTTTTAATAAAACACTTACGTGATATAAGGATTAGTCATTTTAGCATTCATAATAAATGTCTCTCAAAGTGACAACAGATGTCCATTGTTTACAGACTGAATGAAACAGGTGCAGTGATTATGACTCACCACAAAAGGCCGTTGTAGCCAGGCGACTTCTCTCCAGAGGCGGAGCCCACTTTGCCCAAATACCATGACAGGCTGGATATGAAACTCCCTGAGGGATGGGGGGAATCACTTTTGATTAATGTTCAAAATAAAATACATACATTTATCTTGTTGTAAAAAGCTAGAAACAAGAGCCAAGCACCTCCACAAGTCCTTGAAACACCCTGACAATGATAACACAGCCAAAATGCATTCGTGCTGCTGCAGGGATGAGCATATTCAGGCAAGACGTAGCCACTATAGCAAAGCCAAACACTCTGGAGGAGGAGAGAATAGAAAATGGAAGAGATGTTCAGTATGAGTAAAGAATGTCCAACTATCCCTTGCATACCTTATATATAGTCATTTCACAAACCTGTTTGCTGCAAATTTTTGACAGATGAACCCTCCAGGGATTTGAGTTACGATGTATCCCCAGAAGAAGGACCCGTGGATCATCCCCACTGTCTCTGGATCCCAGTCAAACTGAGCTTTCTGTTGGGAAGCACCAGGAAAACAGGACCGTGAGAAACAACAGCAATCTGTACATTTAACTAGTTTGACCCCTGAAACCACACATTTCATTTTAAAGTTTAAAGGGGGATAACATGTCACTAAACTGATAAACAGTCAAAACAAGTGATTGATTTTATACTTGACCACTGACTGAACACCAACACTCCTTCACATCACTGTCTGGAATAAACCTTTAGCTCTGCTGAGCAAACACACTGAAAGACTTTATTATCAATCAGTTTCTTGTTTTTATTAACACCATGATGAAATATTTATAACAATAAAGACACCATAAACAACCATTCTTTTGACAGTTTTATTTTGAGATTCAAATTAAAATGTTAAAATGAGCTTTGTTATTTTGAAGTAATGAGGTAATCAATCCATTTACCAAGAAATGGTTTTCCTCTTATTACACCTGACCACTGTTTATTCTTTCAGGCCTATATGTGTGTGAAACGCGTCTTGAGTAAAAGTCTAATTTCCCTAATGTTTAAAGGCTTTATATGTGATTTTTTACACTTAAATATAATAGAAATCAGGTATATCCTCTGAAAATAACTCTGTGAGTCATGACTGTCTACAATGGGTGTAACACCCGAGTCCCACTGTCTGTGATGTTTTCAGAGTTTTCAGAGTCCTATCTTCAGTTTGTTTACATCGCCGGGACGGCCGGCTGACTCCTCCCCTCGTGTATAAAAGTTGTTTAATTGAGGGACTAGAGAAAAGAAGAATAACATACTGTACTCACTGCTTAACTGTGTTTCTAGATCACGCTCATTTCAGGTAAATTTACATGCAGTGTGAAGATATGAGCATAATAAAGATCACTAGCATTAGCATGCTAACACAACAATGCAGCGCGAGTTGTTTTGGTTTCATGCTGGTGCTCAAGGGCGACATCTGCTGGATCAAAAAATCACATATATAGACTTTAATAAAGTCTATTAAATTTTAATTTAAAACAATTAACTAAAATACTACTGTGGTTAAGGATTTCCTTAAAAAGATTAGGGGCCTAACTACATCTATAAGAAAAAAGCCCTGGTCCAAAAAGTCCACAAATCCAAAGAGTCCATTTCCATATTTAGAGTGAATGAATCTTACAAATAAATCATTCAGACAATAGTATTTATTTTGCTTTGGTGTTGGTGAACTATTTTTTTTTATTTGCCACAAACCCCTCCAACATCCCAGACCAAAACTCACCACTATAACCTCCTTGTTGTCTTTGAAGACAGTGTGGCTGTTCACCATGCTGACGATGGCCACGCCGAGGTTACACCTGATACCGAAGGAGATGCAAAAGCCGATGCCGGAGAGGATGGCGATGATGTATCGCCTGGGCAGGCCGAAACACGTGCAGTCCACGACGGGCAGCTCCTTCTCCTCGACCAGCTCTGGCCGGCCCTCAGCCGACAGCTCGATGGTCTCCCCATTTTCCTGCTTCTTCTCAAGGGCTCTGTGAAGAGAGGGAAGTGGAACATGTGATGTGTAAACATTATAGAATTCAAGTCAGTCACTGGGTTGGTCTTGAATTAGGAATGTAACGTATTGGCTTGACATTGTCTCAGTTCAAACATCTATTTGAATGAAACAGAGACAACAACCATACAGAACGACAACGCATACCGCAACTGCAATATTAACCTTAAAAACAAAAGACAGTGTAATTATATAATGTGAAAAATATGTGTGCAATAACCTCAGGTGCAATAAGAGATGTAGAAACATATTTATATTTTCATGTCATTGTATTATATATTTGCTTTAATACAGTGTATAGCTTCTGTACAGTTTAGTTTATTTTACTTAGCTGTTACTACAACTTATTTATTTATTTTATTTGTACTTTTCTACTCTTTTTTTTATAATGCTATTCTATTTTATATATAATCTTAACTTTTTTGTAGAAGCTGACTCAGGGAGAAACACACAAAAATTCCATTGTACCTGTACTGTCCTGTACCTGTGCAGATGGAAATAAACATCTATTCTATTCTATTCTATTCTATTCTATATCAAACATCAAACTCGAATCATTAAAAAATTCACCACTAAAGCATCGCTTGATTACATTTAAGGGAGGTCAAGAGGTAAGTTGAGTAAAGGTCAGAGTGCTAAGTCCATTCTGTTTTATCAGAGCTTGTTAAGCAGCTGAATGCTCCGTGGTCTCTCTTAGTCCACATCCTGGCCTTTCTGTACCTGTGCCCTGAAGTTAAGAGTTCATAATCAGAGGGTGCAGTGGTTCTTCTGTAATCCTGTGAGCCACATCCAGTGCACACTGTTCTGTCAGGTAAGAAATCCTGCACGTTGGCTGCCCTGCTATCTTGCTAGCTAGTTTAACAACCCTGTTCAGTTTGTGCTCATTTTGTACAAACAATGCAACCCCCCTGTCCTTCCGAGTTACCTTGAAAAATAGAGACACTGCCAAGCCTTTGCAGATATTGCATGGTTGTTAGCACTCAGTATCAGTTTTTCATCTGTAATTGTAAAGCGGTATTCCCAGTGTTGTATAGCAGCCAGGTCAAGATAGCTTGCCACAGAAAGAACCTTGAAAATACAAACAAAAGCACTCTTCAATTTAAAAAAAAGACATGTCAGAAAAATAACAACAGCCGTTATCGAGCCTTCAAAATAAAGAGTCTTTATGTTTAGGTTACTTTGATATTTTCATATAATTGTGTATCTAACCCTGACCTGAACCTTAACCCTTTGTGAAGCCAGTCATACAACAGCTAATACAAACATAACAGTACAATGATTATGGTTTAGACATGCTACATACTGTATATGTTAATGGGGCTGTTTGGATGTTGGGTGAATGACAGCACATGACTGTCTGAATTATTCCATGTTGGATTGCTCGTGTATATGACCAGACTTGAAAAGAAAATATCTGTAGTGGCTATTTGTTCAAAAAGAAAAGAAAATCTAAATAAACTAATATCAAACATAATCAAATGACCACTGTACGCAGGTAAGAGAAGTCCAATGTCCATGCAAGAGATCTGTGGTTTATTTAAAGAAAGGAAACAAAAGAACAAAGAAAATTGTGGCTCCTGCTGCCTCTCTTGCCCTGGTATAAAACCATAGGCCCACCCAGGTGCATGCTGGTCCTCTACCTGCCTCTTACCTAAATAACCTCTGGTGCCCACAGTGTTACCCAAACACCTAACAAAAATACTAATGCAAAACTAAATTTACTTAACAAATAACTAGCAAAAGAAAATATTACCCAAAATCTATTCTAAATAAAGAAAACGTGTAGAATAATTATATAAGCAACAACACCCAAATATGAGTAAACTAAATACCAAAACTAATTCTAATATACAATACAATATCCATTCATTCATATATTTAGTGTTATGAGGTAATTTTTGTCATGTTTTGTTGATTTTATAGATAAAAAATGGATTCATTTAATGTGAAGTACCTTAACCTGCATTATTATAATTGCCAGCAGGGTGAGACACCACTCTTCACCAAATACCAAAGTATAAAAAGTACCCTACCTTCCAGTTTATTCATTAGCTCAGTAAACAATTTCCCAATGAGTTTATTGTCTCAATAGCTTCAACACCCCGTCATGTTCGTTTGGTAAATGATGGTCCAGTTGAGAGTAAAGATAGACGACAAATCATCGTATGCTGAAAGGCGTGGAAGCTTTTGATTGACAAGCTACCATGGAGTAAGACTTGTCAGTTTGTATCCACCCTTTTTCCCAAAGGAAGTCACTTCTGGTAAAACGGAAAGAAAAAAAAGAATTCAAGTCTTGGAAAAGGGGCGTTTACAAACCGACGAGTGCTGTCATGGTGGCTGTGTCCACTTTTTCATCGTCTGTTTGATCGGCATCTTAACAAAAGACTTTCTGCATAATAGTCTGTCATCCTACACCAACTGGTGCTCACTGACAAACCTTAGACTGAGACTGGTAACATGTTCCCTAAACAGACAAATCTTCTCTTGTTGAAACTGCAGCCAGTGAAGAGAACAGTTTTTACAGGAACACACTCGTCTTTCTCTGCTGTTGTCTCTAACTCATGTTCATATATCCTGCTGAGAAACCCTGAGAAACCCTGACCTCTACCAGCCTTCAGTCGAACAAACATCAAATATGTATCTAAATGCAGCATGTCATCTATTAAACATGACATGTGCAATGCTGAGTTCTCAGATCAGACCCGAGGCACTGCAGGTGCTGAAGATAGCGCACAAAAACTCCTTTTTTATCTTCCACTTCTTTAATATATAATTTTAGGTTTTCATATTTTGAAATGACAAGAATCATCCCAACGGCCTTTGTTTGAAAAAATGTGCAAAAATCTTGCAATTACATCACCCACCAGTGCAGAGCATAAATATAGCTCGGAGTGGGGGATGGGTGTGTTTTTTGTAGACTAATTTATTCGACAGTTTGTTGTACAGAACAGAAGGAGATCAAATCAGACAATGATCCTCGTGTAGAAATGAACCAAATGTAAGTATATTATGATTCTTATCTGACTTAAGCTTCATCAATAACAGTTATCACACTTGTTCTGAACAACAAGTCCTGACTACTGTACATCATGCTGGTAGTCCAAGATCATGGGAACTGACAAGTATCATCAGCTCCTCAGGTGACAAAGTGAACAATGTTTAAATGCAGACAGTGATTTGTGGTGCACCATAGACTGTGTAATGCTTTTAAGTCAAGTTCTTGTTTTATTATGTTTGGTTTTATGCAACTAAAACGCCTCATCTGAAGAATTCCTCCATATCCTTCCCTAACTATCCGATAATTTGTACTTCTGGTTGCTTCTTGTATTTTTAAACCTGGGACCTATTTTTCACCTAAAATAACAGGAAAATTTAAATATAAGAAAAAATGCAATAATATAACTACTGTAAATCCAAAAAATAAATTGTCCAATGTGTTATGAACAAAAACTACAATCTAAAGCTTTCTAAAGTATAAAGGCAATAACAATATATTTAAAGACCTTCTAGAGTCGTGTCTAATGCAGATAAAGAAGAAAGGGATAACTTCTTTGTTGTTTCATACATCACAGTACTGAGCTGGTAGCTGTAGTCATGTTGTTCTCGCTTGCAATGTGATATTTGTCTTAACAACTCAACCAAACCCTTTTAACTATTTAATGTATGATAGGAGACTGGAGGTTTAAGTTTATTGACCTGCAGCACAGAACACGTCTGAAAAATTAGTATTGTTAAACGTGATCTATCAAACTGTGTCATGTAAGTACGATGTTTTTAAAGTTGCATGTAGCATAGCAATGTAGCTAACTGTAAACTAGCAAACCTTGTGCTAATGTTACATTTTGTAACATTTTGTGACTTATGAAGCTTTTTTTTTATTTCTTGGTATTCTACATTTATAAGAGGGTTAAAAGTGAAACGGTTTAAACGTGTGTAGACCCACCAAAATTCATTGTTTGTACACATTTTTTTTGTCATCCTTAGACAGAGCCGAGACCATGAAGATAGCAACTATGACGAGGTCATTTTGTGCATCCTAGCAAAGCTAAACAATTTGTGAAAAATAGGTGAATACTG